TAATATATGATATAGACTCATTACATGCAAAGCAAGATAATTCAAGCCGTGATTTGTCATAATTGTGATGATTATGGCTTACAGCTCATGAAAACCCCAAGAACCCCAAATCCACAACCTCAAAAAAGTGGATTATTACATGCAATCAATAAAACAAGGATTGTACATAGAACAATATCGGACCTCTGAAAAGTACAAGCATGCATATGTAATCAGTACTTGGTGTGGGCCCCTTTTGCAGAACTTACTGCAATTACTTTTGCACGATATTCTAATTATTCGAGTTTCACCTGTATACTAGTCCAGCTAACACTTGCCTCTCCACAGGATGACAATGCTACTGTCCAAGGGTGGTCATGTTGCTTCTCCATAGATACAGCGAAGGACTGAGCGTAGCCACCCTTAGAAAGGAAGTGTGTTACTGGAATAAACTTGTAGAACAGTACTCAGACATACCAAAATGTACTGGTTACTTGCTTGTTCTAAGGCAGTGCCTAAAAGGTAGAGAAGCCAGAAAGACAGCCGTGAAGCATCTCCTGTATTTCTATATCAGCATATATATTGTAACACTTAACCCAAGCCATACATATTTTATTAACCCCTTAGTCGTCATTTTTTAAAATTATTATTAATTCTATTTATTTGTTATTGTTTTATTTTTTATTTTGTCGAGTCGTCGTCGTGGACAACGCCGGACGTCGTGATTGACCCTGGATTACGTCAATGGATCAATTTTTTGTGGGGGGGGGGGTTCACTTTAAAGGAGTTGTCAAAAATCCTTTGTTGTGTTTTTTTTTTCAATTAATGGATTTTTCCAAAAGTCTGTTTTTTTATTAAAATTTTATTTAACCATTTAGTGAATGGGTAGGGGTACCCCTTACTCATTCACAAGGGGGGGGGGCGCATCTGGGTGAGTAATAAGGGGTACCCTGACGTGAATAAGCCCCCTGCCAGCACCCCCACAATCAACGCCCCTGGGCTGTGGGGAAGAGGCCTTTGTCCCCATCGGCACCGGGACAAGGTGCTTTTCCAGGGGCGACCCTGGAAAAGCCCCCTGCCAGTGCCAAGGGCATGTGGCCTGGTATGGGATGGAGAGGGGGCGCTTACTCGCCCCCCCCCTTTCCGGCCCTACCAGGCCTATGCTCAGATGAAGGATCTGGTATGGAATTTTAGGGGGGACCCCACGTTTTTCCCCCCATTTTTGGGGGTGGGGTTCCTCCTTAAAATTCCTACAAGACCTTAAGGGCCTGGTATGATTTTAAGGGGGAACCCCACACACTTTTTTTTGTTTTTTTTACACAGGGTCCCTCCTCAATATTCCTGCCAGACCTTAGGGTCTGGTATTACTTTGAGGGGGAAAACCACACACTTTTTTTCATTTTTTTTTTACACAGGGTCCCTCCTAAATATTCCTACCAGACCTTAAGGGTCTGGTATTAAATTTGGGGGGAACCCCGAGCTTTTTAAAAAAAATGTTGGTCCCTCCTAACATTCCTACCAGACCTAAATAGTCTGGTATTGTTTGAGAGGGGGAACTGCACGCTTAAAAAAAAAGAAAAGTTCTTTATTTTCTTTAGAGATGTTAGTTTTGTTGCAGCAGGTTCTATACATCGTACAGATCCGCCACTTTACAGGCAGGTTAAGGGGACCCCCCCCCC